GGCTTCGAGCCTTGCGCAGATCTTTTTCCCAACTTTCCAACGTCTCGGAATCGACGTTGTCACCCACGCCTTGACACCTCGTCTGGAGCAGATTACGAGCCAGCTAGTCGACGCCTTGCAAGCCGATGTCCAAGCCGAGATGACCGGTGTCAGAAAAGAAGTCGTCGCTCAGCAATCGGACGCGATGCTCGACCTACAGAAGAGCGTCGACCGGATGAGCAAGAATTTGACACTGGTCACTGATAATTTGCAGAGCATGGTCGAGGAGAACGCTAAGCTTCGTGCTAGTCTCGACGACACTAGGCAGCAGCTAGAGCAATCGAACACCACAATCGAACAACTGCGCCGATCTCTGTCGCAAGGAGTGCCACTTCAACAAATTCACAACGTCACGAGACCAAACGCACTCTTCAGCACCGCAATCGCGAATCAAAGGACTTCTTCTCCTCATACCCCGCGACATCTGCCGACGGCAAGCCATTTGATCTCACCGCAGAATTACTACCTCACCTCTCCGCATCAACCCAACCTTCAGCGCGATCTCTTGCACTCACCAGCCCCGCCAAACTTTGCCACTTCAACACCGGCTTATCAGCCACTGGACAACATGGAAGACTTGCTGATTTCTGCACTTTCCACGCCCAATGTTGAGGAAGACGTTTCTCCCGTGACTCGTTTGCTCGAAGGCCTGCCAGTGCCTAGCGAAAGCTTGTGGGATCAGTCGACGAGTCGTTTAAGGTGCTCCAATCCAGTCATTTTGGCGCTTCTGCATCGGATCTCTACATCTCTGGACAAGCGTGGCGCGCCCTCTCCTCGTATTGCTGCGCTTTGGATGCTAGCTCTCTCGATTGCTGTAGACCATCGAAGTGCGGATATCGCGTCTTACTGGCAAGCTACCTCTCCCGCTATCGAATCGGCCGTCTCCGGTCTTGTCCGCCAAAACATGCACGTCACAGAGATTGCCATCAATCAAGCGACCTTGGGGCTGCTCGCGAACATGGCGTTGAAACCACGCACTGAGGACCTGTTGAACACTCTCAAGTACTTCGAGAAGTGCTTCGAGTCTTTCGCGCCCGTGTCACCACGCGCGCCTCAGCGACCGCCACGCGTTGGACCGATGGCGGAGCAATCTCCCGCTCTCGTGGGTAACGACGCAACCATACAAGCCTTTCACAACCTTTCGCGACGCGATCCCACCATCCTCGACGACCTGGCCCACATACTTGCTGCTCAAAATGGATCGGGAGCGGAAGGAGATTTGCGAGTCGCGTTGATGGCTGCTCAGTCTGCGAGCCGAGGAGAGAGCCTTGCTCCGTCTTTGCTGTGAATAGCAGAACAGCGCAAAAGATATCAGATTGTCACCACTACGAAGCTCGAGCGAGCAGCTGGGAGAGCGTCGTTTTGCTTTTGTCCATTACAATCTGTACGCTAGGCCGTCGTTCGGCCTCGGTCTCCTCATTGTCACCGTTTTTCAGCGAGACTTCGAAGAATGGGCTCATCGAGCATACGAACATGCGCTCGTTTGTGTGTCGACAGTGATCACTGCGCATCGCGTGGCTTCTTGGCTATGGTGACGACGGCTCTCACAGCTCCTTCGGCTCCTCCTTTTGCCCAGCGATTGACGATCCTTCCAAAGCCCCTCAGACCAATAAAGTCGACGTTCCATTCATCCCTGGCAGTATTCTCTCCGCCCTTGCCCAGACCTTGAAGGAAGGTGGAAAAGCCCGGAAAGACGCTGGAAGAGACGTCCTGCACTTCGACGGGCTGCAATCCCGCAGCTTTGAGGTCGGAGAGGTATTGCGATACGTCCTTGAGGTTGGTGGAAGGCACTCCGGAAAGACGTGTGGTTAGTCTGTGCAGCAAACGGGTAGAGAGCGTCGGAGGCGATGCCATTGGCGTTTTGTGATCGGCGTGAAAAATGCTAAAGTCGTGGGACGAATGTTGTGGTGAGGTTGTAGATGGAGAGCGGATGGTCTGATTCGATCTGTCGAGCGGGTACGGCCAAGCTGCAACGAGATCGAACAAGACCAACACACCTCCCGGCTTGAGCCTTTGGCTCGCCAGCTGCAGAAACTTGTCCCGCGTGCGAAAGTGATACGCGCAATCCAGTCCGTAGATCAAATCATACCTTTCCCCTTTGAGCGCTTCATCCTGTCGAAGATAGCTGTCAAGGAACTCGATGGCGTCTCCACACCATACCTGACCCGCTTCGTTCGTTTGCTCGAACGTAGTCGTCGAGAGTGTACCGTGCTGCGCAGACGCTCTGGACCGAGCATGGTAAAAGGTGCGCAAACGGCTGCGAGCTCGGTCGGCGTGTGCGGGCAAGGAGGTGACGCCATGCAAACGTCGAGGTCGCAATGTTCTCGCCAGCAAGAGCAAAGAATCTCCGCAGCCGTGTCCCACGTCCAAAATTGCCATGTCGTTGAAGTTTGCCGTCGAGCCTTGAAGGTCGGAGTAGATCTTGACATTGCTCGGCAAGTGAAGCGAGGCACGATGGATGAGGTAAGAGGCGAGCGCTTGACATGCCCTTGGAAAGGAACGGGTGGGGAAAAAGTCATGGATGTGTGGAGAAGGTAGGAAAGCGTCTTGATGCAGTGCCGCAGGCCCAAAACCGTTCCACCAATCCTTCGTGTGGTCATGCTGCTGCGAAAAAGCGCCAAAGGACATGTCTGGCTGCGCAGCCTCGTGATGCTGATGTAGCGCTGGTCTATCCCACAGACCCATATTGATCCACTCGGAGTGCGCTTCTGCGTTGAGCGCAATATGAGAAAAGTGCCTGTAGCTCTCCTTGCC